CGACCCCGGGCTGGACTCCGCTTCGTCCACAGTGAAAGCCGATCCGGCGATCCACAGCGCAAAGTTGTTGTATTTCCTCAGCAACCAGCACAGATCAGCTCCAGGCATGACGAAGCAGATATCGTCCTCTTTTGGAAGACCAAACAAAAAGGCGTGGTTGACTCTTAACTTTTATAAAGAATATCTTTTTGGATTTGAGACTTTAGTCTTTGCAACTTTACAGATCTTCTTTATGCACCAAGAGTTTGTAACACTCCAAAGAGAAAGGAAAAATTGAAATCGCATCATATGACCCCTTTAATAATACACATATTTGAACCAAGATAAGTATTTGCATATTTTTATCTTTTATTATTTGTTCACAATTTGGCCAGTCAGTTTGTGGTACACCTTCTGCAGATCAATTGCTTTATAAAAATGAAAATACTGTCATGTCATGCAGCTCAAAAACTTTTTTTGGAACACAAATGGAGTTATTATAAAAATGTCAAAGCTGTCAAGTTAAACACGAGTGTCACTGAGCCCCACTGGTGTAGGTACAAACACAGTAGGAGAATGAAAGTGAAAAGGAAGCATTTAATATCACATTTGTGGCGTATTTTGTTCCATTTTTACCCTTAAATGCATACCTCGGGTCTTTAGCCACCCGGGATATCATTCTCTACCCTCTCCCTCCTTCATTTTTTTAAGTTAGACATCAACTTTCTTAGTATTCCTCAATCTATTAATTATAAACAATATAACAAGAAAAAAAAAGTAAAACAAAAGAATGCCAGTTTTCTGATTAATTTTTTGTAAAAAGTGTATTGGGTCGCTAGAGACCCGAGGTATGTAAATGTGTAAGTATTTTTTCCTGCACAACTATATTTACATATCTGATGAATCAATATGTTCAACGCATCTTTTTTTCCTCAAGGTGGCACTGTTTGATACACAATGATGACGTGACGTTTCACAAATTGAACTGGTTTGATTGGCTTTACTGCAGAGCAATTACTATACGCAATGAAATATGTCACTGTCATTTGATGCTGGATGTGGTGAATAAGCTGCCAGTGATCAAAATATTGAATATGAAGTCATTGAAAACGATAGTTTTGAAAATATGGTTGAAATCGTGAATGTCAGGCAGATGCTGAATGTACTGTGTAAGTGCGCTCTGACTATGACAGCGATGGTAAAATCATCTGCTCAAATTGAACCCTTTTAAGTTTCAAAAGGTAACGAAATATGCTTTATTTTATTCTTCTGTAATTGTTCTTAAAATATCAAGTTTTTTTGTAAGAGTTTTTTGCTATTGCAGCAGTTAGAGATCCATTCGTGCTGGATATATAGGTCTGGGTCGCGAAATATATATTAGAAAATAAAGGCGATAAGGTTGTCAAGCTTGAACAAATATAAACACCAATCAACGAACACTACCACAGTTGGCTAATCAGCTCAAGACAAAGTAATTGTATGTTCATAATCATGGTTTTTCAAAGATCATTAACCTCATTACAATGAAGCCAAATTGTTCAGGAAATCTGAAATAAATAAATACACAACTTCATTTTGCAAATAAAAGAATGTTAATGTTGTACATGTTATAATGACTAATTTTATTTTATTTATTTTTTTCTGCCAATGCATGTGTCAAAAACACGACTGGCACAGACAAATAACGTTAATTAAATCTTACCTGAAGTCACAGTGAGGTTCCAAAAGCCAGACGCCATACACGCTTGCAGAAGCTGGTAAAAATGAGAACATACCGCTATATTTTCTAATTAATTTCATAGTTCCCCCAAAACAATTTGAATTCTGTCATCACTCACCCTTAAGATGCTCCAAACCATCTAAGACTTTCGTTCATCTTCAAAAGAAAAGCTGAGATATTTTAATAAAAATCTGAGAGATTTATGTCCCTCCGATGAAAGAAGATTCACCAAAGATGTTTATGTTTCAAAAAGTTGAAATCGCAAAAAAACATCGCCAAAGTAATCCATATGAATTGCGTGGTTTCCTCCAAGTGCCCTAAAGAGAAAAAATCGGTGACCGCTCTATATAATACTGTTTAAATTTAGACTTATATTCACATTCAAGAGACATTTGCACGCACATCATATTTTATATACGAAGCTCTCTGGGGTGAGCTCATTATCATACGAACCAATCAGAGCCGTTCAATGGCTCTGGAACCAATCAGGTTTAGTCAGTGGGTTGTTTGAATTTAAACCACGCATTTTTTTTTTTTCATATATGATGTTGAAATCCTTGTGGGAATTTTAGAAATATATATTAGAAAATAAAGGCGTCAAGCTTGAACAAATTTATAAACACCTAGCTTATTACAATTAATGTATCATGTAATGAACAACAGCCTAATCAACCAAAGTAGCATAACCTTTTAAGTAAAACTGAATAACATATTAAACAACATATTTTAAATATCGCAATGCTTAATAATAGTTGACAAACGTTTGTACATTGTAAATGTTAAAAATGTTTTTCAAAATATTATACTTTTCCAAATATTAAAATTATAAATACAAAAATATTTAAAATAGAACCATGTGTAGGCCTACTGCAATATAAAGTACATTAAAAACCCACTAAAAGTGTAATAATTTTATGTTCTTACACAAAGTAGACATAAAATATACTTTAAGTAAAGGTAACATAAGTATGTTTTCTGTAAATACACTAAAAAGTCACTAAAAGTATGCTTGTGTTTAGCATATTCCTTAAAAAGTGTAACTAAGCATATATTTATTACCAAAGTATTTCTAGTATACTTTTTTATAAATACATTAAAAGTATGCTTCTGTTTAGCATATTTCTTAGAAGTATAACTAAGCATATATTTAATACAAAAGTACTTCTAGTATACTTTTTAGAAATATATTAAAATGCAATTCAATATATTTTTATTGCACTTCAAATAAGCATGCTGGGAAGTGTATTATAAACATACTACTTGAATTTCAAGTATATTTTTAATACATTTAATACGTCTTTTTCACCTGGGATAATATTATTATTATTTACACTCTTTGGAGTTTCATGTATATATGTTAGATTCATTGGATACCATCACTGCAGTGCATGTTGAGGTTAGATAAGGACTCGATGCATTTTTTTGTTGTTGTTGTTGTTGTAAAGAATGACATCTCCTAACATTACCACTCCATCAGCAGCAGGTAAACAGGTCCGTTCAGCTGGTCTGAAGGACGCGGCAGCGGTCAGAATGATGACATAATTTACCTCCTCCGTACAGTATCATATGGCGTGGTAATGTAGGTGCACAGAGGCACGGTGTGCATTTAAGAGCAAACCCAGGCACATTACCCTCCCCCCAAAGTCTGGGCTGAAAATCAGCGGTGGACTGTGGGTTTGTGAGGCAGGAGTCTCTGAGGGATCAGTTTGGGAGTGTGTGTGTGTGTGTGTGTGTGCGTGTTGGGAGGTCAAGGACGGTCTCATATGCCCTGCCTCTGGCTGCTCTGGTGTGTACCCTTGTGGCGTTTATTTAAAGAGCTCATCAGCCTCCATGCACACACACAAACTCTATACCCAAAGTGTCCTGCCTCCCAGTCTGCCGGATTAATTAATCTCTTTTCCCCTCCTGATCCAGGAGAGCTGTTGAAAAGGGCCTTGCCTCTTGCTGGTGGGCATCAGATGCCAGCACTGAACTATTCATCACTACGACTTCCGGGAGAGAGAGAAGAGGGAGGGAGATGAATGGATAGAACAAGAAAAAAAGAAGAAACATGAGAAGGGAGGAGAGGGTGGAGGGGTGAAGGAGGCTCTCTCCCAGCTGGCTGGGGCTATGATTAAAAGTAGGGATGTTTCTATTGTGTAGCTGACAGAAGTCTTCATAATAATGTATGTATTGCTGAGGTGAGCACTCGGGGACGATGGGAAGGACGTAATGAGGGACGTTGAGGCATTCTGTCAAGGAGAATTCCAGGGGATTTGAGGCGTACAGGGGACAAACCAACCTAGGCTCACTGGAAAAGCGTACCTGCTCAAAATTCATACTTATAACTTATACATACAGTTCACTGTAGTTTCTAGCTGAAATAAAGACTAGTGGAAGTTACACACCAACAACTTTTATTCTTTCCAATTATGACTACAGGGGCAGATTGATTCCTTGCACAATACTGTTATGTTATGAGCTCAAAATGCTTTTAGTGCATGATTTGTGAAAGAAAGAAATTTTGACATTTACATCATATAGCCAGCTCCATATATATGGATTTTCTGACATGGTAAACTTGCTCGGTAGCTCACCTGGTAAAGACACGCAGAGGCAAGCTAAAACAGCATGGTTTCTCCAGTAAATGCATTTTTTATATACATCTCTAAGACTACTCACCAGACATTTCATTTATGTTCATCTCACTGAAAAAAAATAAATCTGTAAAATAACAGAAAAAGTACTGGCAGATTATTACGCAGGACATTATCCATTTATTTTACAAACATTACTGTTAACTCTAAAACAGAATGCAATGCAGTGTAAAATTCTAAATACTGGTGAAAAATAAATACAGAAAAATGCCTTCAAATTATACAGTACATTGTGCCGTATTGTTTTTTTTTTTTGGATAGTTGTGTAGTGTGCAGTGTGTTTTAGATAAAACTGAAAACTGTTTTTAACAACACTTTTTCCCTTTTAAAGTGTCACAAAACATTCAACATTTAAAAGAGTAGCAGAGTCCACACCACAACTGTAACAATAACAGCACCGAGAAACAATATTATTGGAATCACTTTCAGAATGATTTTTTGCAGCTAATGAATGATAGAAACACACAGCCAATCAGAATTCACCTGACTTTGAAGAGCTTGAGCATTTAAAGCAACAGACAACAACTGCATGATGGATGTATAGTTAACATTGCAGTTAACTTGACAGTTATTGTTCTTGGTGTGAGTTGGCCTTAAAGTCCAATGGATTCTGATCGGCTGTCAATGTTTTTATAGTTCATAAGCTGGAAAAAAGAAGGCGCAGATGGAGGGCTGATGGAGCTGAGCGTCGTCGCAGGTTCTGGAGACCTGGGCACAGCCTAGTCGTCCTGACTCCTGGCATACAATATTTTGCACCAGAGCCTTGCAGCTTTAGAAAAAAACAAAACAGAAACAAAATTAAATAACAGATTTTTACATGAATGACTGAAAGCAAGCACAAATTAGCCAGCTGGAATGGACACATTGCTAACATTTTTCTTTCAAGATTGACCAAATCACCCTCCATTAGGCCTGATTCAAAAATCTCTATAACAGAGGTGATACAACATGAAAATATACTTACTATTCCTTTGCTTGTCTCTGCACTCAGATTTCAGTTTGTCTTCTATAGCAGCTGATCTGAAAAACAACAAATGTTAATATTTCACACACACACAAAAGCAAATGATGATTGATGATTTGTTTTCTTTTTAAGAATGACAGTACGCTGAGAACAATGTACCTGGTCGGTAATATAGTCAAAAACCTTCCCAGCCTCAGCAGTTTCAGATGTACTGTATGCTCTCATATAAGCAACCCTTCTTACAATTTAATCTTTGTTCTTATCTGTAATGAGAAATATATATTAGAAAATAAAGGCGATAAGGTTGTCAAGCTTGAACAAATATAAACACCAATCAACGAACGCTACCACAGTTGGCTAATCAGCTCAGGACAAAGTAATTGTATGTTCATAATCATGGTTTTTCAAAGATCATTAACCTCATTACAATGAAGCCAAATTGTTCAGGAAATCAGAAATAAATAAATACACAACTTCATTTTGCAAATAAAAGAATGTTAATGTTGTACATGTTATAATGACTCATTTTATTTTTTTTCTGCCAATGCATGTGTCAAAAACACGACTGGCACAGACAAATAAGGTTAATTAAATCTTACCTGAAGTCACAGTGAGGTTCCAAAAGCCAGACGCCATACACGCTTGCAGAAGCTGGTAAAAATGAGAACATACCGCTATATTTTCTAATTAATTTCATAGTTCCCCCAAAACAATTTGAATTCTGTCATCACTCACCCTTAAGATGCTCCAAACCATCTAAGACTTTCGTTCATCTTCAAAAGAAAAGCTGAGATATTTTAATAAAAATCTGAGAGATTTATGTCCCTCCGATGAAAGAAGATTCACCAAAGATGTTCACGTTTCAAAAAGTTGAAATAAAAAAAAAAACATCGCCAAAGTAATCTGCGTGGTTTGCGTGGTTTCCTCCAAGTGCCCTAAAGAGACACGATCGGCGACCGCTCTATATAATACTGAGACTTATAGGACTTATATTCACATTCAAGAGACATTTGCACGCACATCATATTTTATATACGAAGCTCTCTGGGGTGAGCTCATTATCATACGAAGCAATCAGAGCCGTTCAATGGCTCTGGAACCAATCAGGTTTAGTCAGTGGGTTGTTTGAATTTAAACAAGTAAACGCAAGTTTTTTTTTTTTTCATATATGATGTTGAAATCCTTGTGGGAATTTCAGAAATATATATTAGAAAATAAAGGCGTCAAGCTTGAACAAATTTATAAACACCTAGCTTATTACAATTAATGTATCATGTAATGAACAACAGCCTAATCAACCAAAGTAGCATAACCTTTTAAGTAAAACTGAACAACATATTAAACAACATATTTTAAATATTGCAATGCTTAATAATAGTTGGCAAACGTTTGTACATTGTAAATGTTAAAAATGTTTTTCAAAATATTGTACTTTTCCAAATATTAAAATTATAAATACATATATATATTTAAAATAAAACCATGTGTAGGCCTACTGCAATATAAAGTACATTAAAAACCCACTAAAAGTGTAATCATTTTGTTATGTTCTTACACAAAGTAGACATAAAATATACTTTAAGTAGGTAACATAAGTATGTTTTCTGTAAATACACTAAAAAGTCACTAAAAGTATGCTTGTGTTTAGCATATTCCTTAAGAGTGTAACTAAGCACATATTTATTACCAAAGTATTTCTAGTATACTTTTTAGAAATATATTAAAATGCAATTCAATATATTTTTATTGCACTTCAAATAAGCATGTTGGGAATACAAATGTATTATAAACATACTACTTGAATTTCAAGTATATTTTTAATACATTTAATACTACGTCTTTTTCACCTGGGAAGACCCGAATATGTAATAATGATTGGCGAAACATTCATGCATGTAAGGGTTAATTTACCAAATAATAGGAAGAAATGCACATCTCTTGCTTTCACATTCCTGTAGGCAAATGGAGAACTGAATGGAAACGGCAAAATATATTACACATCAGTCATTTGAGCTGCAGAAAGCCAAAACCTGCAGATAAATCAAAACCTTCTGATGTGAAGAAAAGAAGTGCTGAGTACAGCATCCCACGTTTGAGGCCTGTGCTCCAGTCACCATTTGCTCAACACCAACACACTGACAGCCATGAGCTTCCGAGGCACTGCTAACTTTAATAATACGTTGAAGTATTCAACATGCTCTTTCCTGTTTAAAAGAAAATATTGCAAGTTTTGGAAAAATTCCTTCACCAAGAGCATCATTAGGTCTCTGAATTTTTGGAGAGAATTAAAAACAAATGCTGGGACTTTGAAACAGCACCTTCAGATATTCCTCTCATGAACTTCTATTGCAGGCCCATCACAACAACTCTATCTGGGTCACTCCTAAATTTGCCACCTTTTGGGCTTTAAAACTGTTGGAGAATGAAGCATACTTTTATAAGTATCTGCATAAAAGAGAAAACATTTTTAGAACTTATACAGGTCAATTTCAATGACTTAAACTGAATTATAAATATAAATATATAAATATATATATATACACACACATACACACTTTTAACAAGATGACAAAATATCCACCCCCATAAATGTGCAAGCATAAAAAGAAAGGGTAACACCTTACAACAAGGTCTTATTTGTTAACATTAGTTAATGCATTATTAAGAACTAATAATGAGTAAATATATTTTATAGCATTTATAACTATTAAAATGTTAATTTATAATTCATAGTGCATTAACAGATACTTTTGATTTTAAAAGTTTATTAAATGTTGAGATTAACATTGGCTAAGATTAATAAATGCTGTAGAAGTTCATTGTTAGTTCAAGTTAACTAATGTATTTACTTGGGTTAATAAAATGAAACCTTGCTGTAAAGTGTTAACAATTAAATATTTCAAGCTTTTGACTCCTAAAGACACAAAATAACCAACAGAAAACAGCAGACTTCAGATTTTAAAGATTAAGGATGGTGAGTATGGTCTGTACGATTACAGTTTAAAAGCATCGTTTTGTTTTTTTTCACAACATAATTTGCATTTTTTTTTGCACCACAATGTTCATATTTATTTTCCGTTTAGGTATACTTGCAAGATGAGAACTTTAGAATGACGTGCTAAATGCCAAGGCCACGTTTACAAATGGAACTTTTGACCTACATTCTCCCACAGTGTTTTTAGAATAACAATAAAATATACTGCTACATAGAAAAGTGTGAATGCAGTTCAAAATGTGATGATGTGGAGAACATCAGGGGTCAGAGGCTCACATTGTGTTCAGTTTAGCGCTAATACAATCCTGCTAGCTGAAGTCTATTCACTCTGCACCAAAAGTCTTTCTTCTCAAAATGTCAGAAATGAATTCCTTGGGAGGCACAATAAAACTGCTTATTATATAACAAACCACATGTACTTTCAAAAATCTAGTCCAAGGAGGGAAAAAAAATTGGACTTGGCATTCAGAAAGCTGAATTCTGCCACAGAGAAATGGCCTATTAGAAGTCCACAAAAATATATTCTCAAAGATATCTGTAGAGACATTTGGTGTGCACAAGAGGTTACAATAATTTGTGTTATACGATGAGAAAAAATTGAATCAGATTTCGCATGTCTGCAGAAACAGAGTGCACACATTTTATAACAGGACATAAAATTTCCCTTTCTCCTAAACCCAAATAAATACCACTTTTCTAAAAGGAAATACTAGTGTCACCATGGGATTTATCAACGGATGTGTCAGTCATGAGTGATCAAACACTGGGTGGTCACGTCTGAAGCGAGCACATGATGCTGTACAGACTCAGCTGACAAAGTAAAAGGAAGGAAGGAGGTGATGACAGAGAGAAAGAAGACTAGTGCACTCCAGAGACAAGACATGGTCATGAAAACCAAATGAATCATACAGAGCAAGATCCCCTTATGGCAGATGAAAAGACACGCACACCAGCATTTGCAGTTAGTGTTTCTTAGCAGAAAGGAATTTGGATTTTCAAACCTTTCTGCAACATGAATGCCGGATTTGACAAAACTGTGGTTGTAGCAGAAGAATGTGGTTACATCTCGTAATGAAAGATAAAAGAAATCTTCCGAATCCATATGACTGCGAGGAACAGACCCAAATCCAAGCCTTTATTTGGCGATCTTCTTCTCCAGCCTGAGCAGCGAGTCCAGTGACCGTGAGCAGCAAAGCCTGCGCTTACTGACGCGCTCTTTACAAATTCAAATGTTACCGCTTCGAACGCTCATTGGCTCTCGTCTGCATTCGTCACAGATTGCGACATGCCGTGTTTCTGGTGTGTTAGAAGGATGCGCGCGCGCCTTCACGAGTTCACGGAGTGGATCGGGAAAATTATCTGGATAATATTTTCAGCAATTAACAACAAATTCTGCTCTGGATCACACAAACCTACTGTATTCCGCCAGAGAGGACTGCGGGTGCAACGCATCGTCATTTGGATTACTTTTGGTACTGCTTTTGACATTTTTGCAATAAATAAATGATTGTAATGTTAATTGCATTTATCTGTCTGTTATGTTTTTTATACTGTACAGAAATGTTTAGGTTTATAGGTAGGAGTGGAATTAGCGACTAAAAATATTTTAATGCTATATTGTTACTAAAATGGTTATTTTCCTGCACATTTCGGTCATTTGCGTTTTATATCCTTTTATATTCGCTATATATGGGTAGGTTTAGGTTTGAGGGTAGGTTAAGGGGTCTAAATCGCTTATTGATAAAATGATAAAAATGCATTGATATGAATATCTTAAAGCTAAAAATACGTAGCGATTTGTACGTTTTAAA